CCTAGTCTCATTTTCTTCTGCGTCTATGCCTGGTCAAGCTACGCGGGTTATCTCACCTCAGATTATATACATAGATTCGTTCCTAAGTTTGAACAACATGATACCATCAGTCCTTCCAAGAGAGCTTTCCAAAGGAATGCAGACTCTATACAAGATGATTCTGGTCATCCTCTTCCTCCTCACTGAACATCCTTTTGGAGTTCTTCATTGAAGTGCTCAAGAGAACCATACATATTAACAAATCCCGAAATGGCTGAAAGCCCGTGACGGACACCAAGATGAGTCATGATCAGTAGCAATCAAAGTTCTCGGGCAACTACTTCCCTGTCGATTCAGTGAGTAGGCTTGGATAAACTTAGATTGTATGACCGTCAAATGCGCAGTGCGATGTGTCTTTCAAATGGCGCCTGAAGTGCCATTTCTATAGGGAGTTCCGCGGTGACCATCAGGTTTTCGTCTTCCTACTTCGCCGTTCCGGTAGCTTTCTCCCCATTCGTTGAGCAATGAACCTCATCGGGTATTTATTTTGCTGTAATACCTTACCCAGTCATTTCAGTTTGTCTAATTGTATGGACTCATCCGAGCATAGTTTCTTGACGCGATTCATCAGCGTTCCGACAACTGCGCGTTTGACGTAGTGTGGATGCGAAGACTAACAATGCGAATACCTGTCTAAATTTGTAGATTTTCTGTGGATTTCCCCCTAATAATCCATGACTAGCATCAAAAAATAGTTATCGGTCCAGGAACCTAATGGTCCCCTGCTCGTTCTCAGTTTCCATCGTGAATTTTACTCTATTGCATTGTTCACTCAAGCAGTAGTAACTAAAGTTGACACTTTGTAATGCACTGATCATAAGGTTGCTGAACATTCGTCGTCAGTAGTGCATTACAAACATACATTTATCGTGACATCTCGGATATCGTAGCGACTGGAACATGAGGCGGCCTGGTGCAGCACATTCAGTTTCCTGGAAACACCACAAACGAGAGATTCAGCTGGGTTCCAGGTGAGTCTCTCGGAAAAACAAATAAGTTTTCAAATGAGTGTATATTCGCTAAGGTTGACCCTTGTTTGAGTAGTAAACGTGTAAAAGATTCGATAAAGGAATTCAAATGAAATTCGTGAGGATATATTACTTCATTATGTTCTTCAATCAGATTTTATCATATCTTGCCAGACAACCTACACGCAACTAATTCTTAACATTTCGAACAGCAGCGCGACCAAACGCCATGGCAGCCTGTGCATTAGGTGTTTAGTTAGGGAACTTGAAGAGAAAGCTTCATTCAAAGGCGTTCATAACAACCAAACGTGCAGTGTTTTGTCAGCGGGTATGTCCTTAAATGACGTTCCCATAGATGGTACGGCAGAGTGGCGATGCGAAATATAGCGACCCCGGATGAGGAGTTCAGTTCAGTTGGATATTTCAACCAGTTCACACGTTCATGTCGGTTTGAATTGCCAAAGAATTTGGGCACAGAGTCCTTAACTTTATCGTATCCAGTCATTCGGTTTACGCGTTCGAATCGATCGCGATGAGTTTTACAAAAGCCATTTTTGAAGTTCGTTTGCAGCTCGTGCGGAAACCTCAACTATAGGGTGAGTGGATTAAATATGTCAAAGTAGGTCGTACTGTACGGGTTCACTCTGTATCATTCTGGTCCAAGCAACGAGTGCAAGACAAGTTCAGTTTCCATACTGCGTTCACGGCCACCTTATAATCAGAACCACGGCCCCGGTATGGTAACCAAAGACGGAAAACGCTATAGTCACGAAGAAAAAACTTTAGATGGACTTCCTTAGCTAGCGAAATTCGGCAGGACTATCGTTCAGCAAAAAACACCCTTCAAAAGATATCCCCTCACCTTAATGGGAGATGGTGGTTTATTATTATTATAATTGCAGGACGAATAATCACAGGCAAACAACAATCAGTACCCCATTTTTCTCTTTCGTTTCATATATTTCGTTTATATTGAGTAGCAGCGGGTGGCTATAGGAAATCTCGTCACAGTGGGCGAATTTGACAAAACTTTCTCTCTCGTGTAAATTCGTCCTTGCTAGTAGAATGCGAAGGTGTTTGTTGTTGATACGCACCAAACATTACAGTTTTTCATATTGTCACCCGTCAGCATGTGGGATAACCGAACGGATTGACGAAATGACCCGAGCCTGACACTCTATGAACTACTGGCTTCTATCTCGGTAATAGGGATGTGACAGGCACTGGTCTCCCATAGACCAACCGCCCCCATCTGGCGAGTCACCGAGTTGTAGCGGAATGGATAACAGAGTACCCGGGCAGATTACGCTAGCTGTTCCCAACTGGTGATCCTGAGTTTTTCCTGAACTTTACAGTGTGGTTAGTCAATCTTAGAAGACTTTGATGGTTCGCGAGCAGCCAAGCTTTTAAACACTTCAAACATCGGGAATAAACCAGGCATAAACTCGGTCAGCTAAAAGCATATCGGGATTTTTCTAACCTACTGTACATGTACGCTATTAGTAGTCATTTTTCGCTTCTGGTTATGCTGTCAGAATCTCAGCTCATTAATAGAATAGATGGTAGAGATGAAAAGTCTTATATCTCGGCCATTTTCTATACGGACATTCTAACCTGATAAAGCCTAGTGCATCTCAATAGTAGTCAAATCAGGCATGAGTTTACTAGATCTTTTTGCCGGTCGCCTTCACTCGGCTAATGACACCAAAATTGTTTAAGGACACTTAACACCGGCTAAGAAAATTGAGGCAATGAACACTGTGATGGCTCCTGGAGATAGTCTAGTCCGTCGCTTCGTTCTGACTAAATCTTGGTTTAATATTCCATAAATGCTATTAGGTGTCGATGCACCACTCACTACTTTCCCTATCATAAGTAGCAAGCCAGGGTAAAATTCGTGAATCCACATTCTGTAATCTGAGAAGTGCAGTAATCAACCCTAGTGTTACATGTTCTTACAAAGAAAAACAGCCCGGTTGCATGGAGATGGAACAGCATATTCGGGTCTTGAGTCAACCAGCGTCCAGCATTTTATAGCACCTTTATTCGACAAAAGTGAGGCGGACCAACAGGGTGACCTCGTCACTGAGTAAAAGGATGTCAGGCACATAAACAGTCCGGCACTGTGAGCCACTTGAATGTTCCACGAATTGGGGCAAACAGATTCACCGGTTCTCTGACCAAACGTGATTTTGTATCATCGAACGAAATATATTTATCGATCATGAAAGGTTGACCATTTCGCCTCACTCTACAGAGTATTTGTGCATCACATTCGTTAGCTGACAGAAGCTGGATAGATTGATGCTTCCGGTGAAGCCCACGTGCCCATTGTAGTCTAATGAATGCTATCGATCCATCTGGTGATGGTCACGCGCTATCACTAGTACTATAGTGCGACATTGCGTAAACTACTCTCATCGACGAACACTATGAATTCGTGTAACGGAGTACTTATTCCACTGACATGTGCGATTTTCACACCAGAACGAAAATGGAAACTGTCATCCACGGATATCCAACGGACGCTGGGTTTGGATATATGCTACTCAAGCCAGTAAGACAATTTTATAGCCTTTTGGAACCCCTAATCTACTGATGATACGTGGAGACACGCGTCAGTGCGTTGGAGCCTGAAGCCAGTCTTGGTGCGAGACAATTCACAATAAACTGTACTCGCACTTAGCCACCTCTTCATGGTACAGACTGTTTAGCCCGGACGTCATTCTGAGCTAACTAAGATTTCAGCAACTCCAGACAGGGCTGACCACCCTGTTTGGCTCCGATGTATTGGCTACTTTCGGCGCTTCCGCACCAGTTCTAACCAATACACAAAAGAGACGTTTGGGGCTAACGTGTGGGAACGAAAGCTGGCTTGGTAGCCCACCGTCGAGTCTACGTCCATGAAAGTGTTACAACGAACGTAGTTGTTGAATGTCCCCGCCTTTTTTCGACGAAGACTGTCTTGAGTCAACACCACCGACACGCACATCCCACCCAGCATAATGTAGATAGGATTGGCCGAGTAGAGAATTCCGGTGTCCGCTGGTCTCAACAAGAGTCACAATCACTCTTGCACCTGGCTAACAATTTACATCCGTCTTGTGGCACGCAAACTGCGCTGTTCGCGAAACTGGAGCAGTATTTTCCTGGTCAACCGACTATCAGCATCAAAACCAGGTTACATGTGCTTAGCTGGCAAGAACATCAGGATGGATCGTCATCTGATGGCCCTGACCAAACCGTCGGTCAAATAGCGACCTACTCGTCAGAAGCCGATGACTGTAGCGCCAAGTATAAACAGACCGTGGCTTGCGCCGTGTCACACTTAGAATCCCATGCTGATAGTTCACTTGATAGTGTTGACCTTCTGGCAGTTTGGCTTCATGACACCGGAGCAAGTCCCGTCGGAGACATTTCCACACATGTGGAATCCCGTCTTCCGACGCTGTCGTCAGCTAGCTCATCGTGCGGCGGCCAACTGAAGGCAGATCCGCCGAGCCAACATGCCGCCATCCAGACCCTATACCACCAAAGATGGAAAGATGCAGCGTTTGCTGTGCTCGATGGGTGGTGGAAGGATCTATACAAAGGTAACTGCGGCCTACTTCTGGGCACCGAACAGTATTGGAAATGGGTGTTCTCTGCTTTAAAATACGTGGATAGCCAACTAAATCACACAATGCTACCATCCGAATGGAGTTTGATCGGGCCAATTACAGGTGAGGAAGTCGGCCGTATGATCCATCTAATGGGCGATTCTTCTTCAAGTCTGGACAAGCTCACGCCTAGGATGCTTCTGCTCTTATTAGCTCTTATTAGCTCTTATTAGCTGAGGGTTAGCTACCGCATCTGTGTCGTGCTCGTAGTATTCTACTTCCGAAGTTCGCCAACCCGACTTCACCGGGCCAACTGAGACCGATCTTCGTGTCATCCATTCTTGTTCCATGCTTTCATAAGTTGTTTACTGATCACTGAAGTTGTAAATCGCAAATGCTTTCACTCCTGTTTGCATTTATATACCGAGACGACTCTTTAGAAGCTACATCGCTGTTATACTCTCTGCTTTGCCACTCATCAGTGACTCATTATAACAGCTTGGCACTTGTTGATATCTCGAAAGCATTTGATTCGGTTTCACATGACACAACTGTCAGATCTACCGAGGTGTTTGGAGAACTGCCACCCCTAGTTCGATACATTTCACAGTCCTATGAGAACGCTGTGGCAGCATTCCCGAATTCCAAGGTTCATTGTGGGAGGCAGGGAGATCCACTCTCCGCATTATTGTTCAACATGGCGATGGATGAGGTTCCTGGATTGTCAATGCTTCAACTGGGATAGGAGTTCCATGCCACCTTATTGAATTGTACTTTAGCACTCACTCTCGCACTCACTTTTTCTGAATAAGGCTGTTGTGCTCCCTATCGGTGAGTCTTTTTCCGGAACTAGACTCTGGAGCGGGAAAGGTAGTCACATAAAACAGATTGGTGACTCAGATATTATAACAGTTATTCTGCTCTGAGTATTCGGTACAAATTGAGATGTGTGTTGGCGTGAATAAACTGATCATTTTAGTGATTGCGACATTTCCATGCTTAACGTTTTCTTTGAGCCGTACATTCCTCCAATTTCCTCGCGATCTTGCCTAAAAACTTTCGTGAGACTACGAGTGCAACTTAGTCTCTATCTTTCTATAACCACAATCCACCACGCTTCTAGGCAGCAAGTCCGGCATTGACAGAATTGGAAATCGTGATGCTGGATTGGGTTGGGAAATTGCTGAAGCTACCCAAACAGTTCCTGCACGAGGGCAACCAAGGGGGAGGTGTCATCCAGGTGAGTGTAATCTCAGGTTGGTTGAAAGTTGGTGTAGATTTTTGTTAATTTCATACCACCAGGGGATATTCATGATAGAAGATGATCAGGAACCAGCCATCATTAGGGATTTCCCATATGGCTGGTTTCCTATTGGAGATAACCATGGATTTGTCAGTGATTTTTATTTGCGGGAGGTGTTGGGTCAAAGGCAGTCAAATGACCTGGTGTGCATCAAAATCGGTGGCTTGTAAATTGTTGATAGGCGATGAAATCTTAGTAGAACCAAATGAGTGACTGCGGCACTGATGCTGAGGTATTTCTGATACTAATACTACAATACTACAATAATTCTGCAAGTCATTTAGTGTAACCCAGTGGACATGTAGGAATTGGTAGTTGTGAACAGCAGTCAGTTCGATACTAGTCCACAGAGCTCAGGCTTTGGATCATTACAAAAAGCCTCTTCGTTTGTGACTGGTAGTCTGACTTGATAACTGGTCATCTGCACCAATGTGCTGTCCTTGAGGTAGAGGTAATCTACGGAGGGTAGCGGTTGATCACTTGATTGCTGATCTGCTCGCCGGTCTCGATAATACCTTGTTACCGAAGTGCAACTGGGTGCGCACTTTCCCCTTTCCTACTTGCATTTACATAGTTCTTAAAGCTTCAAATGTGACAGGTTGGTTGACCAATAACTTTCTGGTACTTTCATCTACCTGTTTACTATTTGTTGTCTATTGTGGTCCGCATTCTGCACTTTTTTCGATCCATCAACTTTAGTGGTAGAGTAGTGCCAGTTACAGGTTATATTTTTGCAGCACAAAGGCTACGACAACCTCCTATCACATTAAAGATGGAAATAACTGCAGGTTCCATGGACTTCTTATTAGTCAGACAGGTGCGGTGCCTCCAGGAGTGTTACTCTTGATCACACCAATAAAACTCAACTCCTACTTCACCAATCTGCCAGATGAGAAACCAGTTGGTGCCTGCCAATACAACTATAACGAACCTTGCACGACTTTCACAAGACTGACATTTGTATCATTGGGGATCTCAAAGCGTGTTGATGTAGAGGGATGTGCGATTGTAGGGAATTCGGTGAGTGATGAAATCAGAAATCCACGCACGCACAGCACGAATGATAACTGCGGGATCTGAATTTAGAATGATTTCGAAACTACCGCACGAAATTACTCATCTAAGTACTGTTGTTGCATGGTTTTCGATCATACATCGTAACATGAACAAACTCAGCTGAGTTTTACTCGCCCAGCACCAGTGCTATTACAAGGCGGTTTTTTAACCTGATGAGACGCTCTTAGTTGTCATGTTCCCTCTACAATGTTTTCCGTTTTATTCCATAACTTCCGATTTCACAAAGAGGGTAGGAGACGTTCCCACTGTTGCGTTGAATATCCATGCATGTGATAGATATCCTTCTCTTGCATTTAATACGAAGTTTGTTACTCACGTGTTGTAGATTTTGCCTTCGCTACAGCCTTGAATGGAGTCAGATTGATCAGTACTATCCCTTTTTCTCCCACTCTACCCCGCAGTGTTCAGCCAGCGATTGCGTCTTGCTATCCATGCTAGCTGCAAGGCACAAAGCCATCATTCAATACAGGCACTTGTTCGCTTCCGAACCGAATCCCGGGACAGCTGTGCTGGGGCGTTTGGTCGCCTATGCGTCCACACTGGTACGTAACGCTTTGTAAAAATTCTTATCGAGCATGCAAAAATACAGTGACCGGGCCAATTTTCATCGCACCCGGTATACATATATATGTGTTCTTCCGAAAAGATGGTCTAAAAGAACCGACCATGTGTGAGTGGTCTTTTCTGAGCTGATAGTCCCTCTGGGGAGGTGCAACTTTGTCGGTGATGCAGAGTGTCTCATGCGGGAAGAATCTATGCAACCGCAGTTAGTTTGCTAACTCATTGGGGCCATCTTTCTCCCTTGTACGGAACCAGACCTGACCCAATGACCCATCAAGACACTCTGAAAAGCAACTAATTTGTTATTAGACAGAAAAAATGGTCCTCAAATTTTAACTTGCTTTGGATCACCTAAGGTCCTATCAAGTTGATCAATAATAACGTCCCGTGAGGAATGTAACTTTATATAATTTGAAAACTAGTCTCAATGAAGAAATCAATAAATTACGCTCAGTTTCCTCATTTGTTTTCCGAACAAACCGCTCGGAAAGTGTCGTTAACTGAATTCCGTTTCAATAAAAAACAACCTCCTGACTCTCTTCTCATTCTGAAAGTCGGTATAAATTATCTACCCACGGAATCCTGTTGGACATGAAGAACTTTTACTTGTTTCAAATAGGAAATCCTGAAACCTGTTTCTGCACGTTGTATCTGGGATTATGCTGGTTCCCACTAGAGGCTATTACTCTTGCTGTTACCAGGCCAAAACAAGTGAGTAAAATTGCCGTGTCGGACTTGAGTATCCTACTTGGAACAACCAGGACACACTGAGATGGCAGATAACACCAAGAGTTGAACGTATTCACGTGTCCACGTGACAACTCTAGGTCACCATGGTCAAATATTTAAGATAATGATCCTCGGCTGGTGCGCAGGATGTACCTAAAACAGCCGGTTTTTCTTGATTTTCCCTATTCGTTTAGCGTAGGACGTCAAAACTGTCAACACGCACTAGTGAATCGAAGATTAAATTACGTTTGATAAACAAACATCTCTTTAGATGCTACTGTATGCAATTTGGTACAAGTAGAACATAAGTTTGACGGGAACTCGGAGACTGCGCCTACCTGATGAGTCCCAAGAATGGCGAAGAATTTTCAACAATCTTATGAGTAGTGCATTATGAGTACTGTGTGCTGCGAATTTCTCCCAGCATGACCTCATTGGTACGGTGATATGGTCTTCAGTCGAACTCAATGTTTGCGATGCCCAAGAATTCACAAACGGTGCTCCAACGTCGAAACCCAGATATCCTCCACGTGGGCAAAACAGCAGTTCGCTTGGACCAGCTAAGCACGTGCATCACCGTCATCAATGGTAGATGCTGAGTTCAGTGAAGGGTAGGCCGGACCACAACCCGGAGGCTTTACGTCAGAATCTGCTTGACCAATATCACTTGAACAGGTTACATCCTATGGAAACACGGATGATTGAGGTGATGTGTAGACATAAGAGACGATTCAACCTGAACAGCCCGAACAATAGGGCTTGATCATCACTGCATGAGAAAGTAAACTAAAACTCACAGTAGCTGAAGCCGTATCAGAGGACATTTTATAACTCCTGGTTTCATTTCTACGCGGACTCAATATAATTTGTTATTACCAAATTGAGAAACCACCGCCGGTTCCTATGGTTGGACACTTAGTTATTACCTGTTTCCAAGATTTCATGAACCACAAGCCGGAGAAACGATGGTTCAAAATATCAGTATCTCTTATTGTTGCACTGTTGCTCTTCCTGTGTATTTGGTCTCCGGATTACCCCCTACATATGTACAAAATTATATTTGTTTGAAAACGAGTGGAACACTATGATAAGTTCTTTTTTATAGCTGGAGCTTCTCAATACTGTCGATGGAAGTGGACTGTGAATAAAACTGCAAGTGAAAGATACCTACCACTTTAGGAAACGCGCATTACCATGGGATTTTAGCTGGTACTACCGAATGAATTCACATCTGTTTATTTCTGCATTTAGACCGGCCTTATTAACTTTTCTCGACGAGGTTTTGAAGAGGCTGTAATCAAAATTCGTTAGAAATCAAGCCAACAAATGTTCCAAGTGATGTGTGATGCGAAATTGTGCTCTGGGATGAATAAAGACCAAACATTCTGGGACTTATTGGCAGCCTAAATGGTATTTCGACAAGATTTTGCGTTCAGTGTGTCTGTCCGACCATCGAACACAACTTTAGTAAAAAAGACAATTGTTAGGTTCTCTTCTCTTCAGTGGAAGTTATCAAGGCAGCTGCTGGAGTGTTTTTTTCTTAAAGATCCGAAAATGCTCGCGACCGGTGGTTACAAACTTAATTGACGTTCTACACTGGTAGTGTTGCTTATTTTCAAACCATTGACAAGCACTTAACAATTACAGTTTGCCTAATTTCAAACGACCAGTTTTGAGTCCGAAGCGGTCAACCTCACTCTCGACCTACACTACAATATGGACTTGGTACCACCTTTGTCATAACCGTTAGAAACTACCGTTCTCTCACCTTCATAAGTCTAGTGAAATTTGGTTGAATTCTAGTCAGGAAAACGCAAGGATAAGCTGACAGGTCTCGGTTTGATTGGTTGACCTCCATGCTCCAGCGGAGGCCCACAATATGAATTTTATAATCAGGGAATAATTCACTTGTTTTTGCTGCTCTTTAGGCTCACTCTTGTGTGGAGAAGGCAGGGATGATTTGCTTTGTTTACTTTCGCCAAATCAAACCGGACTCGGATTTTGCAATGCAAGGATCGGCACTGCAAGAAGCAATTGAGGTGGGTGAAAAACAAACAAAAGCTGTGATCACGTGTCCTGGGCTCAAGGTCATATGCAGTTCGAGTTCCTCTTCTGTCACATAAATCTTGTTACAAAAATAGTTTATCTCAACTGTACTTTTATTTATAACATTTTACTATTCACACTTCGTAACTCAAACGGACACCATAAACTAGCTAGTTTACTAAGCATATGAAGGCAAGTCACGCTTGTTTGAACAGTACATCGCCTGTCCTGACGCAATTTTTCCGCTGAATCTACACCAAGGAGGTAAAACTCTCGTTGGTGTTCATCAGTAGTGCATGACTCACCTCTTTCCGGGAGCTTAACCCCCTAATATTGGACGGGAGCAGAGTATGATATCACTATCCCTCTGGATGCACCCTGGATGCACTTGAATTATCAAGTCTAAGCAGAAGAAAGTCTCTAAAGCTTGAGTCAAATGACTGGTGCATCCAACGCCGCCCACTGTCCTGATTGTGTCGGTCGACTGCTCCGCCTGCCAGGAATTGCAAATCAGGTAATACGACGGACAGTATTTTATTATCTTAGTGATTGAGGGAACTGCAGACAAGCCACGCCTGATCTCCAACTCGACGACCTACCGTGACGGTAATGGTACACAACTAGCCATGGCAACTGAGGTATCATCCTCTCATCTGACTGAATACCTCTTCATATTCATTCCAGTCCCACACCACTCCACGGTCTTCCCCCCCCCCCAATGAAGGCAGGTGGCCAGTTCTCGATTCATTCCGGTAACCTGTCACTTTGCCGCCGCATCAATGGAGAATGCTCAAGCCTCTGTGAGCGACTGGAATAGAACAGGTCGAGGACCTTCAGCCACGCAGCATTTGAATAGTATTTCAAAATGGGATGGCTAATTCCTTAACCCGGCGTTGATGTGACTTGGGGTATTCGTCTGTCACCAGTGCCCTCTCTAATTAATGAAATATACTCATTTGCCAACAAATTTGGTTTTGCAAGAGACTCGCCTGGGACCCAACAAAATCTCTCGTTTGTGATGTTTGTTTGCAAATGAGTGTATTTAACCAATTTCGTACAATTTTGTCTCAATTAGAACATAAGGGAGACGGAAACTCGGGGAGTGGGCCTACCTGATAAGTCCCAAGAAGGGCGAAACCGTTCGTGGGCTGTCGAAGAATTTTCAGTAACACTATGAGTAGTGCATTAACTACATTTACTTTGTGAGTAATGCAGCAGACTGAGCTTCGACATTCAGGGTGTCTTTATTCTCGAAACGTTTAGTGCCTAAGCTCTTATTGTGAAATCGCATACCCGTTACACTAACCTGGAACGATAAAAGAACAGCTTTTTGTTAAACGACTTTCAGGTGATTACCTCGATAATAGTCCAACCAAAAGTAACATCCCATACACATTATTGTTTATTTGAGATGCGTATCACAATTGACTGTAGAAACCCAAAATATTCCCGTATCATTTGAAATCGAATCCAGTAATTAATAACGAATAGTTAAGAGATGCACGCGGGCTAACTTGGCTACAGAGTCATCTTCTAGGCCCCCAATGAGAGTGGTCTGTCAACTTCCAAGGTCCAGTCATTTTTTGAGGTTCACGTAAACAAAATCGATTCATGTGCATAGACTAATCCAATGGAGTCTTTTGTATACAAAGCCACACTTTTCCAACCCCATTCAACGCACCCCACAGCACACAGAAAGGCCAACTCCATCACTCCGACATCTTTTGAATTTTGAAAAAAAAATAATACTATCAGCTGTTTGTAAGTAGTCCAGAGGGAAGAATACTCCACAGAGCGTACGACCTTCTAGATGAAAAGTCATCATTCGAGGAGCCAGTCACCACTTGACCACGTGATGTGAATCTCGTGACGCCACCACCACCACTACAACCACTATCGACAACAACAAACAACAACAACACTTAGTAGCGCCTGTCAACCTATCGATTAGAAATGCTATCATCCGTTCATCTATTATTTGAGTACCGTTGCTACTGAGTATACTATTCCCAGTGGAACAGTGCTACACGGTCTTCTTGTTATCGCCCTTAAACCAAACTCCGAGACTCTTCGTTCTGTAGGTATTTCATATCACAAAGTGGTTTTAGCGAAAGGAAATAGGGAACGGTAGATTGGCAGTTACTATACAGCCACTTCCTGTAGATCTATTTCTTGTGCCTGGAAATGCATTTGCCGAGCGAAACAAAACGCATGGATCATAACTTTTCAGTTGTTTTATTTAGGGCGTGTTATGAGCGGTGAGTCTCTGGATGAGTACTCAAACGACCAAATAAACCAGGAACTATGGTTGGTGCATCCGTTTTCCGTCTACGGTGCAAACAAGGAAAAAATGGTTGGTTGAATAATTCCCCAACAAGACAAACCCTTCTGAATTTGAGCTGTTCTTGTGAGAGAAGATACTAATTCTTTTTAATGTGCTACTCATAAGTTTGCTGGAAATCCGTCGACAGCCCACGACCAGTTTCGCCCTTCTTGGAGCTCATCAGGTAGGCGCAGTCCCCGGGTTTCCGTCAACCTAATGTTCTACTTGAAACCGAATTGCACGAAATTACCGAATATACACTCATTTGCAAACTAACTTGGTTTCTTTTTCTAGAGACGCACCTGGAATCCAGTTGAATCTCTCGTTTGTGATGTTCTCAGGCAACTGAATGTGCTGCACCAGGCCGCTTCATGTTTCAGTCATTACGATATTTGAAATACCGCGATACATGTATATCCACCTGCCAGGACTAGCAAATCAGGTAATACGACGAATAGCGGAAACTACAGACAGCACTTAAGCACGCCACGCCTGATGTCCAACTCAACGACGTGTCATGATGGTAACGATACACAATTAGCCATGGCAACTGGTATATCAGACTTGATCTGAAGTTTCATTCTCTCATCTGACTGAATACCTCTTTATATTCCTTCCAGTCCCACACGACTCCACAATCTCCACCTCCCAATAAAGGCAGGTGGCCAGTTCTCGATTCATTCCGGTAACCTGTCACTTTGCCGCCGCATCAATGGAGAATGCTCAAGCCTCTGTGAGCGACTGGAATAGAACAGGTCGAGGACCTTCAGCCACGCAGCATTTGAATAGTATTTCAAAATGGGGTTACTAATTCAACAACCCAGTACACCTTTGCCTGGTTGTGAATCAGGGGATTCGTCTGTCACCAGTGCCCCTTTTTATTGATGAAACATAACTAGGTTTAGCGAAATACATTGACTTGCGAACATATTTGGTTTTGCGAAAGACTCACCTGAAACCCAACTAAATCTCTCGCTTGTGACGTTTGTTTGCAAATGAGTGTATTTCTCTAAGTTTCTGCAATTTGGTTTCAAGTAGAACATAGGGTTGACGGAAACTCGGGGATTTCGCCTACTTGATGAGCTTCAAGAAGTGTGAAACCGGTCGTGGGCTGCCGCAAAGTTTTCAGCAACCTTGTGATAGTTTCCCTTATAAAAAGTCTATTTCCTCACCTTTCAACTCGATAAACACAACGGTCCATGCCCATCGAATCAACCAAGTTGGGTTGTTTTATCATGTGCTGACACGACAATTGTCTGTTCTGTGGCGAGTCGATCGGAAGTTCCCTAGTCATTTGTGCACCGAATGTTTGAAGTCGTAGAGCCTCTTGAGTTATGATTACAAAGCAGAATGTTGGGAATGGATAAAGATGGAACGAGAAGTAATACATTCAAGTCCAAACTTGTACTTTGAGATTGTCCGTTTTCTGTATGTCACACCTATTGGCTGTTTCGTTACACGCCTGGTCCTCTTTTGACTTCACAAACCACTCGAAGTGTCATTTATCTGTTAAAAAATGTTCTTTAATCTAACTCACGTTCCGTGTATTTCCCCTGTTTCGCTTTCTAGGAGGACAAAAAACGTGGCCTGATACCATTTTTTGTAAGTTGAACAATTTTACTGCTGTAATTAAATATTCATTTGGTTCACTGTCTTCTCTACTTTTGGAGGCCAACAACTCATGTCAACAGTAAGCTCTCTCCACTGGACCTGTTAGTTGCTAGGGTGTTGTTTAGTCTGTTACACGGGGTGCTGTAAGAAACTCCGTGAAGTTACCTGTCGGAAGTTAGTCGACCACCTTTGAGACAAGTGATGCAATTTCCCCCCCAAACACAGCACCTTTTGAAATTAGCCCGGCAGCCAATGAGCGTGTTACAGTGAGGTTGTCTTGCATCGAGCAGTATAGCCAGGACTAGCAGACCGGTTGCCAAACGTGCAGTATTCGTGATATTGTTCAGAGGAACCTTAAGCACCCCTTAGGCACACCCACCATTCACGCACCTACCCGGTTGCAAATCTGTGACCCCTAAGAAGTACGCTCTACGAAAAGGGGTTGAAAGATGCATTTTCCGAGCATAGCGGCAAATTCACAAGCGACTCAGGAAACTTAAAACTTAAGCCAGCGACCAGTTATCAAGATCACGTGAATTCCGCTGACCAGAATGAACAGGTCTTTGGCAATTGTGCTGGTGGCTGGATCCTTGGGCGGCGTTCAGTTCATTTCTTTCTTTGGTATACACCCAGTACACTGGTGTCTGCTTTACATTGTCATTTTTTCTGCAGTCTACTAGTGTAACGGTGATACCACTGATGGGGAGGCACGCTTTGTGTCTCTTGAAAAGGAGAGATCTGTTGCGGAATTTGTTGAGTCGCTTTGTAACATTTGCTTCGATTTGAGCAATGAATGATTGGAGTCAACGAATATCCAGGAAAGTTCAAGAAGACGCATTCAGGAGAAGATGGATGTCCAGTTTTTGTAAATAAGATGCAAATGAGTTTTGCTTCCCTGTCCAATGGCCTGTAACCGGTCAGTTGGCCTTTCCTAATAAATAACTCCGCAGCGAAGTCCGTATTCCTTTCAATAAGATAGTTGTGGACGGAACGGCATGACTTATAACTGACAAAAAACCCAACTAAATGGTGTCGCCATCTTCAATGACAATCAATACAATCAATAATCACTTCATATTGGCGAGCTCGCCTTACGGGGACTTCGTTGTTACATTCTATGGGTTTGTTTACTAAAATATGTTTAGGTTTACTAAGAGCCTTTCATCCCGGGACTAACCAATTTTGGCTATTCTCATTGGAGAGACTACTGATAATTAATTCACCTCATCATCAGGTTTCGAAAGACCCCCTTTTAGAGAGGTCACAATAATCAAACATTAACGCATTTTCATACTTTGAGAAAAGTGTGTCTTTGCGTTATTCTGTTCGCTAATGCCACTCTAAAATCTCGGTCGGTACACTTTTGGCCAGCGACTTTTATTCAAGTTCACATTGTACTTGTACTTCTATACTTCGTCAGGCGTGCGCAACCATTGGAACGACCGGTTGCTGTTCTTTCGACAGTCTTGCCTCTATTGGACCGGTATGTCAACAACACGATGTGTGGCTCCATGTCGATGGCGCGTATGCAGGAAACGGCTGTATTTGTCCAGAGTTCCGACATTATCTTGATGGAATAGAAGTGAGTACAGGAATCTTTTCGTTTCCGATTGCCAAGGTTGTTGGAAAACTACCCTTCAGTATTCACTGCCAAAATGGACAATCTGTTAGACGTTGTCCACCCATCAGTCGACCATAGGGTTCCATGTTCATTTGGCGCTGGGATGTTTGGTAATAAATGGAGTCGTTCCCGGCGTGGGCCAAAACGATTATAATTCCCTTGTAATGTGAGGAGATCTGACCATATGCAGTTGAGATTTCATCCTATGAGCGAAGCCAATCTATGCTGAAAAACTAACCATTCTTGTTGGGAATCATCAGCAGTGCGCGTCTGATGAAACTCAGAGAGTTCCTGAACCCGTGACCGTCAGGCCAGTGGTTGAACTGCTGATCAACCATTCTTGGCTGATTGTCCAACCACTGGGCAGACTGTCTCGCATTCGAAATTCTATGAATTTTATTAGATGCGCACTGCTAATGATCTCCAACAAAGATGAAACAGTTGTACAGCGCTTTTAGGCTTTTCAGCACAGATTAGCTTCACTGATAGGATGCAATTTCCACTGAATTATAAGACTCATTCTTTACTTACACATGTCTCCGTTAAGACAGATTTTCGTCTAATTCTAGATAGACTTTTGTGTTGGCCACTCTGTACGGTAAAGGTGTAGCAACGGAATGTTCACGTTCCAACTGATTTCCTACAAGACGTGAAAGTTGGCACCCCAGTATCAGCTGGAGTGATATAGGTGGGATGTTCGCCAGAAAAACCCAGCGATGTATGCTGAAATGGTATAATTGTATGATAGGTAGGCCTGCGGTTCCACTAGAAAGGATTCCACTATCAGTATCTCCTTTTGTGTGGAGCAAGCATGATGCGGTTCAATGGGATGATGTATGAGAAATTATGGAAATGTTGTGTTTTGTTGATCAAACTTGGCTTCTCATAGTCAATGAGGAGCTTGCATGGAGATGCGCGAGGACATAGCTTCTTATTGCGTCCGATACTACTTATGCTACCAGTTTCCTTCCAAACTTTCTGGCTGAATGCAAGTGGTAAGAACATGGGGAAGAGATAGTACCTGCGACACGTGTCTCACGTGTCAACCAAGAAAACGGTGAATCACAGTAAAGTCTTGTCCCTCAACCCATGGCGTCTTTTCTCCTGTAGACTGTAACGTAGATATCATTCCACTTCAATCCACTCGGAGAACTCAATATATGATAGAAAGGAGACTCGCTGCGAGAAAAACTCAAAACTTGCCTCTGTTCACCCCGTTTTTGTCCCGCATTTCCGTTTGGCATAGTAACGATTGATAGTTTGGCTTGTTGGTTTTTTCGGTAGTCTTCACAGTGAGACGCCGTGTTTTCGACATGCATTTGTCAAGACCAGCTGCGAGTTGGTTCTGGGTGTGACATTTGTGAGATTCTGTTTGTTTATGAGCTTAGAATTCAGAAATAAATTTAGCGACAAGCCTTCCACCTTGGCTTGAGTTGCATGAATCACAGAACAATGAGTTGGGCCAGGCGCACCTACATCGCTTTCGTAATTACGGTGCGCGAAATCCTCATAGAGTCACTCAGTCTATGCCGAATATTTGGACTCAAGGTAAACAACTCAACTTTAGGATAGGTAATTCCCCGGAGTTAATGAAAATGTTTTAGTTCCTCCACTTACGGTCACTTGCTTTCTCGGAGTGTGAGAGAGTTGTATAAAGCTAGGCGAGATGGCGTTCTTGAAGTAACACACTGAACAAAATATTTTTTTTGGACTATCATTGATACGGATCCGTCATCACGGCATGCTTTCCATTACCATTTAGCGTACTGATCGATTAAGTATGAAACTAGAAGTAAGTTGGAATTAGTTCACCGGAAGACGATCACGCGGTTAATACCGATAATAACAATGTGTGCACTTAGGCAACGAAGCATAGTGTTACATTCAACACACACAACTACTCACTAGTAGTATAAAAACTTCCCGACAGCGTACTGCCGGTTTCGCAATTCGTTGGCTTATCCGGCTGGGTAGTTTTCAACAACCATATAAGTAGCCTCGTGGTGAGCTAAATATTTCGATATGCTGGATATCGGATACATTCAGTTGAAGATCTGTTATATCTACTGATTCGTCAATCTGTGATATTTGACTGCTGACGCCGCTCCAGTGCCTAGTACCCGACAAAGACTCACCGAAGGGAACACAACGGTTTTATTTCGAACAAGCGAGTGTGAGAGCGTGAGTGCGAAAATACAACGGCCCCAAACTATACTATTGGAGGGACAGTGTCTGAACTTGGTCCAACGCTGATTCACACTGCCTGGCTTTGATACAAGGCTGCGACGCGCTGCATAGTGCGACGGCGTTGTCTAACCTTGATCAACCCTGACTCGCGCTGTCTGGGTTTGATACAAGCTGTGAAGCGCTGCATATTCAGCGTGCGTTGTCTGTCTGGTCAGCATCTAGTGAAGCTGAGGGTCTCAATAGATTTCAGGTATTCAGTGGTTACTTTCAGGAATCTGACCTTCTTGATAAGATCATTACAAGCGTGAGGTTCATCTGCGCTTCTGGTTATTACGAAATTGATTTACAAACAGATGCTTATTTGCAATACGAATTAATGTACGTACAACCATTGCGCAGCTATGTTGCTTCCCGGGAAAAGTGCTTTGTACATGTGCCAAAAGAGACATGTCCAGTCGAGTACACGAAAACTTCTGCACTTGGCCTCCTCATCGGGAGCATGGGTCGTCAGCTTTAAGTTGCATACATTCATCCTCATGACGCTTGCTTATATGCTGTCACAACAAGCCTGTGGGAACTTTTAGGCTTTTTTCATACTCGCCTGTCACCAGTTGAATTATGCTTCCACTGTGAGCTTGCCAATACGATACTCGACTCTTCTGAAGCACGAGACATGATTTTGTCAGGCAGCCAGAGTAAAAGGGGATATTATTCTCTTGCCACAAAAACGCCTCCAACTCAGAGCTCGGTCACAAATCACAGACTGAAGTTGATGTTGATCAGACCTATTCCAGTATATTATCTTGAATCCGAATCAAGGGTGGAAAAGTTGATTTCGCCTCAGCTAAAGTCGGTGCTTGAGCCAAACAGAGTTCACATTAAAACTTTTTTCCACATGCTCTTTAGATATGCGACTTTGATCGTATATCCTTTGCTGTATCTCTTCTCGGTTTTCAAGTGAGAGGGCATACATCATTTTCATGTGTTGTCAGCAAATTTGATGAGAGATCATCAGTAGCTGTGTCCTACACACACGCAACCAAAACTTTCCTTTTAGTGCGGATGCCAGCTGCTTCGTTTACTGTATCAGATACATTAGCCTTGATGACAAATTCCAAATCTCGATGCATATGAAGAGGAGCGGCGAAAAATCCTGATGAAGAAATCACGATCGGTTTAGTTTTTTACATTTCCGGTTCATTCAACTTCATATTCCGTCCGGAATAACCACCATGCTTATTCAACTGAGCAGCGACTGGTGAACGTGCCGTTCGAACTTGTATCTATGCCAGGAGAATCACCTAGGCGCGACGGGCCAGCACGCGTGACACGAACCCCAAGCTTTTTCTATAGTTGAGAATAAATAAAGTATCATGAAACCAACTCAAATTCAGTTCACCGTTCACACATGGTTCGCATTCTCAACAAATTTGCAGAACATGGCTGCGGCGACGAACTAGCCGGTTACCAAGGACAAATTGAGTAACAGTTTTCACCAGAACAGAAGACCGTTCGTTCAAAGGAGAGTGGTGTGGCTATGAATAAAATTTGGTTTTGCTAGAGACTCACCTGGGATCCAGTTTAACCGCTCGTTTGTGATGTCTCTAGGCAACTGAATGTGCTGCACCAAGCCGCCTCATGTTTTAATTGTTACGATATTCGAGATACCACGATACATGCACCTACGTAGTGTTGAAAATTCTTCGACAGCCCACGACCGGTTTCACCCATCTTGAGGCTCATCAGCTAGGTGCACTCTCCGAGTTTCCGTCAACCTTAAGTTCTACTGGAAACCAAATTGCATGGAATTAGCGAAGTACACTCATTTGCAAACAAATTTGGTTTTGCGAGAGCCCACCCCCCCACGGAACCCAGCTGAATCTCCCGTTTGTGACGTTGGTAATAGTCAGCGGCACTTATGCCTTACCGCTACTGGCTGCATGGGAAATCCTTCAAGACATTATGTTACTTCATTTGTAATTTCTCATTTTCCTCAATGACCTCGCGAGAATCCCCCTTCGTTCACTCTGCCATTGGCTGATGACGCTAAAATATGGGAGAAAAATATTTTCCACCGATAGAGCAGCGCAGGTACGGCGCAGCGTCGATAAAATATACTGGTAGCCCGAAGTCAAACAAATGCTAATCAGCTACGAGGAGCGCAAGCTCCTCACCTTCAAATGCGGCCTAAAAGTTGATGAACAACTGGCAGCGTTAGAAACAAATGTCGTCTAATCATCATGCTGAACATCACCTTAAAGACCACTTCAGTTAATCCTTCCGACCAGTTTCAGAAAACAACCTGTGACAGAACCCATTGAGGATCAGGGTGAGGTGACCATTTGAATGAAGAGCCACCGAGTTTCTGGTCCGGATGACCTCCCACCCTCATTGATCACGGTCCTCAGACAGTGACTCTCTGATCTGTTCGCCTGCATCTGGGAAAAGGAGACTCCCAGATAACCGGGGAGAGTTGATGATCGTCGCCATTTTCAGAAAGGGGACATTTGGTGAATGTTGCAACCACATGGGGTTAAGTTGACGCCGGTCGTATCGAGACTGTTGGCTTCACCTGTACTTCGTCGCCTTAATGTGGGTAGTGAAACGCTAAGTTCGCAGCAGCAAGCGGGATTCCGGCCTGGTAGGGGTTGCGTTGACCATATCTTCAGTTGCTGTAACAACGCCATACGTATAAACCATCCACCATTTTAGTATTCTTGGATTTCCAAGGTACATCCGACTCAGTTGACCGGTCTGTTCTCATTGGCACGCTTGCTTATCAAGAAATGCCCCGGAAGTTTGTGAGCATATTCGGGTCTCTGTATGCGTGACAGTACACGGAGAGCTCCCCATAAGCCTCCGTGCACAAAGCCGGCCGTAAGCTGTCGAAGAATTTTCAGCAACCTTATGAGTAGTTCATTACGAAAGTAGGAAGCACTCGCCTCACACACGTATTCGTCCCTAAAACTGAAGCGGAATACACCATTCAACACAACTGCTTGTTATCCTTTATTTGTAATTTGAGATGACAAGCTTGACAACCGAAATAACAAACAAAGCAGCTAGGTTAATATATCTTCCAAATAACTAGACATCAGAAACGTTTCTCAAAAGTATCAAATGAGTTGGGTGCTTCGGCGGTATTGACAAGGAAGAATTTGCATAGTTCTTTTATGGTGAACCGACTGTTGTCGATCATGGTTCTGCTGACTCGATAAACTTGTTGCCCTCGTGACCCATTTTTCCACCGTAATAAGTGTTTTTACTAAGTAAGAAAGTTCTTTACAGAGGACAGAATCACAGCTGATTTGTTGAAAAAAAAGAATATTGTGAGAATGGCGGTAAAACGAAAGCAAATGAATGGGTTGAAAATAACGTTCCCCAGGCGCGAACAAGACATGGAGTGGAAGTATCCTCAATTTCGTAAACAGCCACAACGGAGAAAGTTCTTGACAATGAATAGTTTGCCACTGTTGGGATGACCAAGTGAAGAGGTGGAGAGTACACAAATGTGAACGACGGGTTGGAGCAGCAACAGAGCAGTGACTATGGTGGTGGAGCCGAACAGTGAAGTGGAAGAAAGGTGGAGGATTTTTTCTGGACAAAGAAAGATGGCGAATAAAAAGCTTTTTGGTGGATTGAGTGGGTGAAGGCATTCATTTCCGAACGCAACATGATCGGTTCAGTGTAGTACTAACCGGAGTAGAGTTGAGTTTTTGACAGTCGAATAAATGACAGGGTTAGGACCGGATACAAATTTTACCGAAATTTTCGCAAAGTGATAAGGACAGATGTAACGGTGATACTATGAATGGGGAGATACGCGAGTAGTATGCGTTGTTCGTGGAATTTCGCTTTGCGTCTTGTGAAAAGGGGAGATCTGTTGCGGAATTCGTGGGACCACTTTGTAACATTTGCTTGGATTTGACCGACGAATGAGTGGAGTCAATGAATCTCCAGGAAAGTTCAAGGAGACGCGTTCAGGAGAAGATGGATGTCCAATGTTTGTAAATAAGATGCAAATGAGAGTTTTGATTCCCTGTCCAATGGCCTGTAACCGGTCAGTTGGCATTTCCTAATAAATAACTCCGCAGCGAAGACCTTTTTCCCTTCACAGTAGATGAGTGACAGGGACTGAGAGAGCTGAACTTTGAAGTTTTTTTGAAGCCGAGCCGTGTATATGACTGGACCAAACCCGCCGAAGATTTGCAAAAGACTTCTCGTGCCACACACAGTCAAAAAGCCTTCGGATGGTCAAAACAAACCAGTTTACATACAAGAAAAAAGTTTGCTTCGAATGGTCGGATATAAGGAACAAAATTAAACCCGTCGTCGATAGAACTGTGATATCTAAAAATCTCTTCGCCAATCCGAGGCTATGCTTTATCTCAGAAATTTAAACCAGTAGAAGTGAGAATGGGTTGATCCTAAAGCATGTTGTGCTTTTCCTTTTTAGCTACAAAGTCCAGTAACGATACAGGTTCTACGTTTTTAATCCCTGGTTATTTTTTTTCTCAGAAAGGAGACTCATATGGAGTGTCCTTGCTAGAGTCATTCACCACCTATATTTCCATACAGCTGTTAAGAGACGGAATTCCTGGTACTTCGTGCTAGTCTCGGGTTGAGAAATGACTTTAAGGCTATTAACTGTCTAACTATTCGTTTTTAGGCTTCCGGATTCATCGTAATTTTTGTTAAAATTCGCCAGCTGTCTGCTCTCAGCTGGGGAAGTGCAATTGGATTTATAAATTCAATAGACTTAACCGTACAGTGTGTCCCCTTCTGTCTCGTTCATTTCTACACAAACAGTATGCCTGGTCTTTCAACATCAACCCAAACAAGTGGCTACTGGTTGGTTTTGACTGCAGTCTTATGTGGTAAGTAAATACACGATTATAATCTTGATTTCACTTTTTTCAAATTCGAATACTGGAAACCAAGAGAGAATATATTCAAGGCCATGTGTATGCGATTGCAGTGCAAGCAGAATAGCTGGGCTCAAAAACACGCGTCAAACCTGAGGATCAGGATCACCACCAAAATCATCAATGTATCGATGTAGAATTCTTAATTCTGTGTTCAAACATGGCCGCAAATACAACGTTGTGAAACGATAGTTGTCACCGCTTGTCTGGTGGCTCTGCAGGTTATCAATCTCTACGATGATTCTGTTCATGAAAAAGCAATTGACTATTTACTCTCTATGATTATTAAGAAACTTCTCAGTGTATCTACAGCAGTGAAGAACAACAGAGAAGCTTAGTCATCTCTCTGGTTTCCACCTTTAGTATGTAGTTATGCCAATGACAATGAGGTGGAACGGCATGTACCGGAAATTTGTGTCTGTATTGACTCCGCATTCGCATTCGTTCGTTGTAGCACAGGTAAGCAGGATATACCGGCAAAACAAGGGAAGAACGAGACAGTAGTCATGATAGTTCTTTCCGTGATGCAGATATGAGCGCAAGCAAAAAGAATGAGCCAACATATCCAGTGCCGTGTGTTTCTTCAAAGCACCGACATGCTCGCACCCTTGATTCATGGTGCTTCATTACCTCCGGTCATAGACACTTTTGGAGGAAATCCGTTCGGTGAGGTGTGCATTTGGTGTACATCTGTCCAGCGGCGAAAACATAGGGTGTTTCATTCAAAACAAGACGACGGAAAGAAACCTACGCACGCCAAACTCGTAAATTCCATGGGACGCCAATCTCCATCCAAGCTGGAGGCCTCGACGACACTACCTAGCAATAATTTGTGCTACCGAATTCATAAGCAGTAGTATAAGGGCTATACGAACTAAATATTTTCGAACTGATTACAATGATTCAGTCAATACTGCATGTGTATGCAAGCTACAGTCCGGTTGTATTGTTTGTGGTTGCATCCGTGTACCAGTGATATTTACTTTTGCGCACCAATGTCGTGATATGTTTCTTCATTGTCCTACCGGATTTTCATATGGTCCAAACCACACACCTTGGTCACATTCTGGAGGTCGACGAGACATTTTGCCTCGCCTGGCTTACTCTTTTAGAAATGGACGCACTATAGGCTTCAGGAGTGATTGTGGAATAACGCAAAATAGATCTGACATCAAGATGAGGTGTCAACGCTTTTGCTGTTTTTTGTTTAACACTCATGTTAGCCGCTTACGATTTCAGTAGCGAAACCCATAGTACAGACCATACCAGCCTGTCGATCAGCAGGCATATGGGGGTCCTGAAACCCCACTAGTTAGTGGGAAGAATTAGATCGGGAAACGCCAGTTTGGAGAACATAATGTATGTAAACTGCAACGCTTCACGCTGTATAGCTCCGAAAAAACCCGGGGCACTGAGTGGATAAACTAAGTGGCTTAGTCAGTGCAATACCACCAGAGCAATACCACATAGAACAAAGAGCATGCACTCCATAGTTTTCACGCTAAACTGAATCTCTCGTTTATGATATTATAAGACTGAATGTGCTGCACACGGGCCGCCTCATGTTTCAGTTGGCACGATATTCGAGATATCGCTGTATATTTTCATAAAGAAGACTACTCATAAGGTTGCTGAAAGCTCTTCGACAGCCCATGACCGGTTTCGCCCTTCTTGGGGCTCATCAGATAGGCGCAGTCCCTGAGTTTCCGTTAACCTTATGTTCTACTGGAACCCAAATTGGACTGCTTTCGAGGAATACACTCATTCGCAAATCAGTTTGGTTTTCAGGAGAGACTGCTCCTACCTGATGAGGGCGAAATCGATCGTGGACTGTGGAAGAATTTTTAGCAACCTTGTGAGTAGCTTCCTTTATGAGAAGTATGCGCACTAGTTTTAAATACGCAACAGTGTACTTGAAAAGGTTCTAGGTCACAAATTCTGCTTCTGTCGATGAACAAACGCTTTCAGGAAACCCGACTGTTAATCATTTAGCGATTGATCTGTTCACTGGCCTTAGTAAATAGCTTGTAAACATCTCGGTACCAGTTGAGGAGGTATCAGTGTTCGGCGATGATACACACACCGGTGATGCCACTTTGATTTGTTTCTTTTCGCGTAACTACCGAGCTCAAAAAGGTTAACAGTCAATAAATGTAAAAGAGCTACAATATTTCAATATATTTTCAACAATTTGGTTCAAAAGAAAATTTTTTATTTGCTATTCCAGGGACAAGTTTGGCAACATTAAAGTAGGTTTCAAAGTTTAGGGCACTAGTAAGGATTCAGTCTTTCAAGTTCGTTGGGACCAGAAATATCCCTGTCAAACCGAGGCCGGTAACTCGTTGATAAAACTTTCTGATCTTCCAAATGAAACATTTCGGCATATCCATGAAAGCGTTTTTCCCTGTGTTTTTGATTAAGGGTTCGGGACAAAGGCGCTTTGACAGAATCCATGGTCGTTGACCCCGTTTACCTGCAGCACAGACATTCACGTGAGTCAGCTTTTGGTGTGTATTTTTTGGCCACGTAATCCATTGTTTTTGATTAAGGGTTCGGGACAAAGGCGCTTTGACAGAATCCATGGTCGTTGACCCCGTTTACCTGCAGCACAGACATTCACGTGAGTCAGCCTTTGGTGTGTATTTTTTGGCAACTGCAATCCATTTAGCTTAAGATATTCTTTTCGTGTGAAGGCTATTTTTTTAGTGGAAAATAGATGTTCCAATGAGAATAAGAGGGCATGCATCTGGTGTGATTGATTAGCGAAAACCCATGAAATTCATCTTTCCCACTTGAAACCTTTGTTGGCAGAAGGTTCGCCGAGGAGAGACCATGATGCAGCAAAGTAAACGAGCTTGGCTACTGCCAAGTTGAGCAATGTGGAATCTACGTACCCGTCTGGACGGAGCCTAGGTTATTTTCCTCACGCGACTGGAAATCTTTCGGGACTTGGTATGCAGCCAGTTGCGAATCCGTTTTTAACATTTTAGCTGACCTATCTAGCTGATGCTTGCCTGTAGTTGCGTTGGGTGAGACTGTCAATCCTGCTGACGGTGTGTTGTCCAAACATGATTCGTGAGCATGTTTATCTCAAAGGTTGCTGAATGTTTAGACACCTAGATCTTGAATGTTCTCCCAACGGAATTTTTACAAGTCCTCAGGCACCCCTTCCCTTTCACCCACTTGTTCTGTGGCAGGTAATCCCCAGTTTCCACCTAACTATGGTGATGGCGCTCGAATTACAATTCCACAGTCTTGACCCCAAACCAAAAGTTCGCTGACCTTACTCGTCTGCATGACGAGGATTTATTTTTGGAACCGATATCGCGGACTTTGACTCTGAACACTGAACATCAAATGAGTCCAACTCAGGACGATCGGTGTGGTGAACTGATTTTCCAAGACCACAGTTATCGCCTTTAAAAGCACCAAGTCCATGGCTCATTAGTTAAGGGTGTTTCTTGAATCTTGGGAATTTAGGAAGGATACCGATTGTTCACTGGCATTCAGATCCTTAAAAACATCACCCAGCTCTCTAAGTGGAGTACAATCTCATCAGTGTGATAAGCCTAGAACAGAGTTCCGTTTTGAACCATGGAGACACTGCATACACCAATGAGCGCTCGAAGTCCTCAGCCCCTACGTCAAACCAACTAACTTCCTCGAAATGACGCGCTCCTACGCCGTGAGTTTTGCTAAATTTTACACAAACTGGAAATTTCATAGACCAGGTTTCTTCCTTTACCTCATATCCATCGAGAATAGTTTGCCAAGGTCAAGTCCTCCAGCTTATTTACTCCTCTCAAACGTGATACGGTAGAAATTCTCTTTCTCCGAGCTATGAATATATGTATTTACCAAAAAGGTGAGATATGACACTGTAAGCCATTAGACCATCAATCTACCCTGCCCGCATCACAGAAAGGAACTATATACCCTTATTTGTGGAATACAGTCATGTGCAAACTAGTCTGTTCCTGTCCGGAGACTCATCTGAATCCCGTCTGAATCTCTCTTTCATGCTACTTATCGACTGATTTTGATGATCAAGACTACCTTCTGGGATGGTATTTGATAAATCGACAACGAAGTACGCTAAACTTGAGGTTGATGAAAACCCTTTGACAAAATACTACTGGTTACACCATTCTTGAGGCTCATCAGGTAGGAGTGGTTCCTTCCACTTCACGTTGAAGAGTTTTTGCGCAATCTCCTTAATAGAGTTCGGCCGAGATTAGGCATACATATGTTTGCCAGTTAGAGTCGATCCTGTATATTTGCAAGAAAACCTGGTCAGCGGTAAGGTGATTTTATCTGCAGGCACTATTCGACGAATCGCACTTCAACACTTGTCACAGCCGCTCTTCTTCACATGGTACCAACCAGTTCACTATGCGGTGTGACCTGTATCGGCATAACCGATCGACGCCTCTCACCGTGAGTAGCCGGACACTTGGCTTACGTTCAGCAGTCAGGCAGCAGGACAGGCCTACCGGACACATACATTACACGCCCCAGTATGAAAAGGGTTAGTTAATCAACATCAACTGATCCTTCGCAACTGTTTTGCGTACGTTGGACCCCATTCTTTTAGAGCTCGCCGAAACTACCCTAGTTGAAGCAGTCTTTTGTTTATAAAAAGATATTTGCTCGAGAGGCTTCGATAGTGCGCTTAATTGATAATGTGCCGTTCTTCTTCATTTTCTTTTGCCACATACTTGTAAATATCCGCTGCGAATGATGAAATCAAAGGAACTGATGGGATCTCACATTTTCCTTTTCCATGCTTGTATTCATGTGCTGGCCAGCATAAACCACAAAGTTGCGCGAAAGAATTAGAAACTTGTATCGGTTGTACCTGAAACCGACGCTACACTGGCGATTTCGAAGATATGTGACTCAGTTTCGTCCGCGTGACTTGATTATGAATTATCTAAACTTCCTCAAAACTCTATGCCCTCTCGAAATGATACTATTACGCTGTAAGAATGGGGCAGTCACCCCATGGATGCGCGTATCCTGCAACGGTGTCATCAGTATTCTGTGTGTGCGACAATGTCTAAGGCTATCGGTTAGTTTATGACAAAACGCTCCAATCCTGAGGGGAAAACTGCCGTCTAGAACTGCCACCAACTGATCACAGTAAATGATCAATAAAATCTGTGGCCATCTGAAAATGTGAGAATTAGGCTGACGAGCAAATGCGATCTTCATTCCGACCTTTACTCGCCTCAGACGACTGCCAGAGCACACACAGGGCGAATTTCACTGCATAGATTCCGCACTCTCTATCGCACTCTATTGCACAGCTACTGTACGGCTACCAACTGAGTAATGCCTTCACGAGTGCCTTCGGTCAGCCGATGTCCCAGTGGACCGGTGGTTCTTATCGGATAAGACGAGTTTAACCTCCTGACTACTTGTAAAAGGGTTAATCAACCTATAAAAACCTAGAGATATGTAGAAAACAAACATTTGGGAATAAGAGCAGACTTGTAGGCAATTAATACGATAATAAAGGATGTTTGGGCTGAAAATCCTACGAGACCAACCACTTGTCCTAAAGCTCACTGACATAATACTTAAATCCGTATTGATTTGGTCTTTTTAGAATCCGTGTGTCACGTTTCATAGTAGACTTTGGTTTCTTTCTTCTTATTCCCTGCAGATAAATCCATCGACTTCCGGGTAAGTTGTGGTGCATAGCCAATATGTCACAGTAGTTCTTGCGTTACTGTAACTTTTCCACTTACTCAGCAACTTCATAAGATAAGAGGTCCGAAAATTACAAGCTATCTGTTGAAAGAACATGTGGGTACGATGGTTGAACGACGTTCCGATCTGTTATCGATTTGTAGAAATACGGGTGAAAGGAAGCAGGCCTTCGCTGCGTAGTTATTTATTAGAAAATGCCAACTGACCAGTTACAAACTATTGGACAAGGAAGCAAAACTCTCATTTGCATCTTATTTACAAAAAACAGAACGCATCTTCCCGAACTTTCATGTATATGCATTGAATGTTGCTCAAATCCCAGTAATTGCCACAAAGCGACTCCACGAATTCCGCAACAGATCTCGCATTTCAAGAGACGCAAAGTGAATTTTCAAGAAAAAACACACTACTCACATGCCTCCCCATAAGTAGGATCACCCGTACACGGGTAGGTGTTTACTGTTGGTTGATCAGATTGTAGTTGACCTTTTCGCCAAGATCTGCAATTGGTTTGCCAATCAATCTATACAGAACTGTTTTTGCCACTCAGTCAACGAAAATCTATGTTTCCTCAATCATCCTTAAGCGGATTTAGTCAAACCCTGGTTACTGAATGGAGATAACTCAACCAAAAAGTCTCTAGGCAGTCGGCGACTGATGTTTTAACGAAAGTGCTCAAACGGGCACAAAATGGGCAATCCTTAAGGTGTAATTGAAGTTGACTCTCTCGTCTACGCCACGTGGAAAACAAACTGATGTCACTCGGGTCTGTGAAAACAGCTGGTGAGTAGGGCCTCAACAGCATATAATACAGGCAAAATGCATAATGCTCTTTGATGTGACTAGAACCAGTTTTCACAAAGTTACCGGTCCCATCGACTAAACCCTCACGCTACCCATGAGTTCCATAATGGACTGAATAGTTTATGTGTGCCGGCACTCGTCCGATAAGCAATAAATCAGAGTTTGGAGTCTCATCCAAAACGTTTGTATCTTTGTCCATAGCATGCAACTGAGTTCATAATCGATATGATCTCATTTCATCTACATCGAAAACAGCCGTCGTAGTTTAACTTTTCCAAGATTTTAAAGGTGGATGCAATAGTCATACGGTCATTCTAATCATTCTTCTTGGAACGGAGGCCCGCGGTATGTTCTTGAGCTTGTCACGACCGCTGTGTGAACCATGTGAGTGACTTAGTGTCCTCCGAGATGTGTAAAACTGCGTTAACGTACAAAGAGATGATAAATGAGAATAAGTAGCTTGCCACATATCTGATATCTAAGTACCTGTGGATGAACGAAAGTCACTAGAAATAGAACCCTGCCAGTTTGTGACTTGTCTGAGCCGTCCCACTATACAATGGGCCTATAATTATTGACTGATTTTGACTCACTGTGTCCGGGAGATGAGATTTCCATATACTCACGACCGACAGACCGAATTCATCGTCTGCCATTGATTAATCACCATTCAATCCAACCTTTAATTGAAGCACTGGGGAATTCCACTGAGTCGCCGTTTCCGCGCTCTCAAGCTCTGGTTCGTTCTTCGAACTTACGGTGCGAGTGGGTTGCGCGAGTATATCAGAAATGTAAGTCAAACAATGGCATTTATTATCGTTCTCTCCGTGTACAAGTAAGAATTTCGGTAGTGATCGGAGGGCATATCAGGATCTACTTGTTACACCCTGGCTAGAGGAGCAACAGAGCACTAGGTTTTTGTACGCAGCAACGTCGGCGGCAATAAGCTAACGTGCAGTTTTACGAACCAATGAGAACACAGCAGAAATCACCTATTCTTAATCTGTGCGCATATTTCCAAACTGTTTTATATAGTGAAGCAAGTAAACGGTCTAAACAATCAACAGTAACTGAGCAACCAACGATTTGAGCAAACCCTCACTTTCCTGGGTTTTGAACGTAAAATCTGTGCTTATACTCAAAAACGACATCTTTCCAACGCCCCTCCACAGCGCAGAGATATATATCGCACGAAGTGTTGCTGACTAGCTCATCGAGTGATGAGTTCTTTTGCAAACAGTAATTTTTCCATTATCCATTCTATGGTGTGTCTAAAGCCTAGTAACCTATGCACATAAGCAGAGAATCAATCGTAAAATTTTTCAAGGTCAAGCAACAATGGCCAATCAATACGGTGTGCAGTGACCCCGACCGTTCTAGTTGGTCTCGAGATTTTACCAGACTACTCATTCGTACATAAGTAGTCGGCTAATTGGCGGCTTAATTTTTCTTTCTCTAGCATGTACGACTGGCTCAACTATTTGCTGAGAAGGTGCGAGCTGACAACCGTTTTGAAATAGTCGGAAAGCCAACAATGGGTCTAGTTTGCTTTCGCCTCAAGGTAAGTGATATCTCAGACTAGCTTAGACCAAAGGTGTCCGAACTGTGAATGTGGATACATTACCTGTCGTTTCCGAGGTATCGCACACGCAACCCTCCGGTACAGTGAGGATTTTTCCCTATGCATGATTTCCTGCTTCAGGTTATCCCCTGAACTTGCTTCGGAATGTGATATAAGAAAGCACCCAACTGGTAAATATTCTCAAAAGCGGAAGGCCTACTTGTTGACAAGCTTTCTAGTAAACACACTGTACTTCTTCCGCCGTGGATACATAAAGAACGGAGGCAGCGAGCAGAACTTGTTGAACTCCAAGATGACACTTCACAGATTTATGTTGCTCGTCAGTAACCAGAAGCACATTTAGATATATTCGATGATTTATGTAAAGGAGGGAGTAGACAGATAGATCAGTCGGACGCACGAAATCGTTAATCACGGCTCAGAAGAGAAGCAACTGACACATCAGGACTTATTGGACTACTGATCGAATGAGCTGTGAGTGGACACCATACCACCCGAAGGTTGAAGGAGGGCTGGGATACTGCCAGGTTGCCAAGCCTAGACAATCGAAGTTAAGATGCAGAGCTATGGTTCGAACCACGGACCTTCGGGTCAGTAAATTCGCGCTCTAACCACTTGGCCATCTCATCCTCAACGGTTATGAGCACAGTATAGACAGGCTTTCACATGCGTATATTCGGTATGCCGTGGAATTTGCTCAATCCGCCCAAAGGGAACTCCAGACCATATGGTTGTTGGCTTGTTCACTGAGCTGGGTAATTTGATTGCATACATTTCATCACCAGTTGAGGTAACATCATCAGTGCGTTGTTGGAGAGCGTGGTAGTGCGTAGCGGTGGGTTGGTGGTTGTGCGTTGGGTAGTGTTGCGCGTGTGTTAATATACGTGCTTCTAGCAGGGGATGACTTCTGATCGCGATTAGCTGTTCGGTCGGGTGACGCTCCCCAACAACGCATTGATGATGTCACCTCGATTGGTGATGAAACGTTTGTAATCAAATTGCCCAGCTCAGCGAACAAGCCAACGACCATCTACGCTACCTCAGCTACCGGCATTTTTCTCCAGACCATATATTCATATATGATTTATTATTAGACTGGATTCCAAAGACACCTTCAGCGAGTTGCGGGATTTCAACCGTTCGTTGCTTACAATCCACTACGCTTGTGTTGGCTTCATTCGGTCCACAGGTGATATAGTTTTGAGCGTTACTTCCTCATCTTCGTGTTCTCTACTGGTGTCACACCTAAACGTGGTCACAAAGTATATGCGAAAAAGACATCAGAATGGAAAACCCTGTGAGCCTTGAGTTCATGTTCGATGAGGCGAAGCTTTTCTCTCTATCGGTTTCGCTTATCTAGATAAAACTTCGGGTAAATCGAATAAAGTTCAGTCACATTGGAGATTATTTTATTGAGGACAGTATACAGAATCTGCTGCTAGTTATCGCTTCTGATCAAACGTCTCAGCTGTAGCCAAACCTCACCACTTAGGTCATGTTGGGGGCGAGATGGCTTAAGTGGTCGGAGCGAAAATCCACTGACCGGAAGGTCCGCGATCCGAACCCGACCTTTGTCCCTCGATTTCCCCTGTCTAGGCTTGGGCCAGCCCTCGTGCTTCCTTCGGACGGCATGGCAGCTAGGCACCGGAAGGGTGTTACGGCTGAACAAGGTCCTGAATGGATTCAAGTGCATGTGCCTAAGTATATCAGTTCGGCAGACACGACATACACACACACTGAACTCGCGTGTACACCCTTTACTGTCACATTCATCACTATCTTCTATTTTTCACACCCACAAACAGGGTTCGAACATCCTAAATCAATACTTGACCCGTGCGATTAATGAAAGTTTCGCATTGCACGTGGTCCCCGCGGTGGTCGAGGACATCTACTTAATACGGTTTGCTCTATGCAATGAAAAGGCCAAGGTGGAACACATAGAACATGCTTGGGCATGGATTCAGCTGATCGCGAACGAAATCCTGGCAGCGAGGGTGAGTGACCAAATACGGATTACTAATCTAGGCCGAGTAGCGTCGCATTCTAACGATAATTCTCGAATTCATGTTGAATGGAGTGTTACAACAACAGTGATACTGTGAGGAGGATAAGCAAGAACCAAAACAAAG